ACAGACAGACAGACTCACGACGGAGACATCGCCTGACCCCTCATCGACTTGGACTGAGCTTCGCTCAGCGATAAATGAGAGCGAGAGAGAGAAACCTAGAGACGCCCAGGGAGCCAAGATACTCTCGTCTGACTCACCTTCTTGTGGTTCCACAGCACGTTGACGCTAGGCTTGCCGCGCCGGAAGTCGGAGCAGTCGATGACGTCATCGTGGATCAGCGACGCCGAGTGAACCATCTCGGAGATCATGGCAACCCGCCTCTGCGACTCGAGCAGCGGCCTGGGGCAGCAGAAGTCAAGGGGATTGTTATCAAATTGTTATTTCTCGCTTTAGAAACTCTAGTCAGCGAACCATGATCATGATGCTCATAGCCTCTTGGTGTACTTTGTATTTCAGGTGGTTGCGATGACAGTAGGTATTCGAGTAAGCTGGAAGGAGAGAACAGAGTTGGGTCCAGCACCAAGGGCAATGTCAGACCATGGTTGGGTACTGATAGAAGCGGAAACGTTCTGGCCAAACGTCGAAAAACCTAACGAGAGGTACGCAAGAGAGACCGAGTGAAGCATGAATAGACAAGGGGCTAAGAATAGATCAGAGGGCCTTCTACAACCTGCCCGGATCGTCCCTTAAGGGCAGAGGTTGGGCGGATGGGGCAGGGGCAGGGCGGGTGAGCAAGGCCGAGCAAGGCCGCATATGACTGGGCGTGGCGCGGCGCGGCCGGAGAAAGCTATGCATGCAGAGTCGGGGTGGGGCGGGGCGTCCCCACCAATAGCCCGCCGGGGGCATCGCGGGGCTGCTCGTCCGTGCCCGCGGGCTGTGCAAACCATCCGTCACAGCGCAAAATTATTTTCCTCCTTTGAAACAAAATTAAAAGATTCAAACACAAATTTTGGCCAGCACAGACCTATTTTAGTGCGCGTCGGCACCAAGAAGGTGGTCAGGGTGGTCATGGATAGAGTCCTCGGGATATCCTTTTTCGTACCTCAGCCATAATTGCGAGGAGTAGCAGACTAATACAGTTTTGACGGCCGGTATTCGCTACCGTATAAAAATTCCGTACACTGGGGCGATAAGAGTTAAAATTACACGTCGTGTTTGTTTGTGGTAGCCTCCGAGCGTGCTGCAGTTCCTCCGAAAGTTCGTGGCACTACGCGCGTGCCCAGCACGCCGTATAGCGCGCGCATGGTCCTTCCCTGCCCCACCACTCCACCGGCCACTAGCCCTGCCCCGCCCCCTGCCCCGCCGCTTTCTCCCAGCCACACATAAAACGCCCGGAACGCGATATCTGCAAAGCCGCCACCGCCACCAGCACGGCGGTAACGGCGGCAACGGCGGCAACTCGACTTCTGTTTGGGGCGTGGGCATAGATATACTTTGGTTCACTTGCTACGGCAAGCACGAAACCAGACAGACAAGATAAAAGGTCGATGTGCACGGATTACCTCATTTTTACGGTGGTGGTGTAAAACAGGGTGCCAAATGAGCCCATACTTCTTTCCCTGATACACTGTACCACATCCAGACGTTAGGCAGGTTGCCTACTTGTTCGACGCCATAAATGTTCAGAACTATGAGAGACGAAAGAAAGAAAACCCGCCTCGTCACCCGCCTTACGCGATACAGTAACATAAAACAAAGTACCTGACCTATCGAACCCCAGATATATTCAACGACTCGTTCGGGGTTGATTATAGAACTGATTAATCTCTCAAGGACAGCAGTTACATAAGTTACATGAGCCATGACCTCCCAAATCCCGAACAAATTGATTTTGAGAGTTGAGTTCAATTAAAGTGCCCTACAACCCGAGTTGCTGGATCCAGTCTGACCCACTCCGTACTTACATGTCCTTCTTGTGAATGTGGAAGTTGAGTGCGTGGCTGAACAGCAGGCACAGCATGGGTCGGAGGCACTTGCCCTGCCCGTCAAAGTAGTACTGTGCGATGGTGTACAGCTCGTCATGGCTGGTGTGGCGGCGCAGCTCCTGCCGTCACAGAAAACAAAGTTAGGACACCGGATAAAAAAGCAAACAAACCAAACAAACGAAAATGCTTAGGCGAAAAAAGATAAAATCTCCATTGCCAAACTTTATTTTCCTTCAAAAGCTTTCAGTATGCGCAATCTAGCACACACAGAAGATTGTGGCGTTTTGTAAAAGGGTGTCGCAGTTGCACTCCATGCCTCGACATTTCATGAGCAGACATTTCTCCCACGTAAACCGGAGGCAGTGTTCGTGTTAGTGTGTGCAGTAGGGGTGAGCAGGTGTCTAAAGTTTCGGCCCTCCTACTCCCACTACACTGGACTAGTCAGCCATATCGGCTCGAGGTGGACCAGCACAGGGCCATCAGATGCCGTCAAGGCACTGCCAAAACTATTTCGGCCTGTAATCTACAAAATAACACGCCGGTGTTTTCAATTTTACATCAAATTGTAGAAGTATACGACTCGTTTTACGTAGTGAACTACCATCTCAGATACTTCACTAAGAGTTAAGTACCTTTTCAAATACTTCAATAAGTGCAGCAATACAGATTTAGCGCGTACAGCTTAATCTTTCAGTAAATATTTAAAAAGGCAGTCGAAACTTTCTTCACCGAGGTACAGAAATATAACAAAGCGAACGCATAGCTACCAATTAATTTATACATTTTTCGTTAGAATAGTCTATCAACGAATTGTAGTGAAGTAGACAAAACAGTTATTTTCCCTAAAGCCTAATTCTATTTTCATTTTACTTTTCATGACATTTCCGTTGACTTTTCCTCATAACATATGAAATGAGAGAACCGCGGTGAGTGAACTAGAGCAGTTCGTTTGACGCAACCTGATCACCACTCTATGCGTGGGAGCGGGATCGTGTCCGTGTCAAGGCCGCGATGGGGTGAGGTGGGATGGGGTACGGCGGTGCGGAGCAGATCCCACACTCACATCGGGACTTCCTCGGGGTCCATTGTGGCGAGGCGGGGTGGGGCAGGGCGAGGCGGGGTCGGGTGAAGCGGGGCAATGCACTAGACCCAGCCGCCGCCGAGACGCTTGGAGGTGGGCCAGCTTCAGCAGGTAATTCCCACGTCACCCGAATACGATTATAATGTAAAGGTTCTCGGTGTCAAGGGTACGTGAGGCCCACGTGGCGCGGGCAGGTGGGGTTATGCGGGCCGGGGCGGGGGTGAGTCGGAGCGGTACGGGCCAGGATAGAAGACGGTCAGGTGACCGCGAAAGAAAAAGCACGAAAATGCAAAAGCAGGAGAGCGAAACGCGCACATGGCGCATGGCGGATAAGATGCCACGCGCCATGCGGGTGAGACCGAAAGTGAGCTGGGCGGACAGACGGCAAAGAGGTTGCGACAAGCGCGTTGGCATATATATACCAGGCCAAGCGTCACGCACGCACCCACTGGGCACACACAATCAGGCGCACGCATAGGCACGCCGGCCCCACTCCACCCCGCGAAGTCCCTCGCGGCCCCCTTCATTCATCGGCCCGCCATTACGAGCCTCACCTATCGATGACCCCCTCCTCGCCCTGGTGTGGACACGCGCGAGCCGCGACCGCTTGGCGCGTGGCCCACGAATTAGCACCCCGCGCCTAGCACGTCCGAAACAGGCGCCGAACAGGGACAAAAACAAGAAAGGACCGGACGCTATTTGCACGAGCACTCGGGAAGACATTGAGGCAAAATGAAACATTCGACATCCGGGGAACGGCGGGGCAAAGGTGCGGCCGGGCGGCCGCGGCGGGTGTTCTCGGGTGTGTCGAACGCGGAAGCGGGAGACCCAAACGCACGGCTGCACAAGAGGAATTACACACCCCGTCTTCATACTGCTCATTCTCTCACCACCACCCTTCCTCAGGTCAGAGGTCCAAAACGATCCCGAGTTGTAAATTGTGGCCTCTGCACTGGAACAGCGTGCCAGGTGCATTCGATAATCATTATTAATACAAATAAGCGAAATTTGTATAGTTCAGTAGTGAAAATATGATGCACATTCATTAGCCTGATTGTTAGTGTCAGAGCCACTACTCGACGTCTCGCTCAGGAGCTGTGGGTCACTGCTAATACGGGCGGGAATATCTGGGTGTTACTTACACGACCATTTAGACGGATTATGACACCTGTCCTGTTGTGGCGGCTGGAACGGTTGGAGGGGGAGGGCACGTTAGGATACCACGCCCCAGCCCCCACCGCCTGCCCCCCC